TTTTGTTAGATGGATTCCTAAATATTTCAATTTCTTGGATGTTATTGTGAAAGGTATGGTTTCCTTAATTTCTCTCTCAGTCTGTTTGTTGTTTATGTATAGGAATGCTATCGATTTTTGAGTATTGACTTTGTATCAGCTACACTGCTGAATTTGTTGATTAATTCAAGGAGTCTTCTAGTGGAGTTTTTGGAATCTGTAATGGTGGCTGGGTCCTGAGTTGCCCGCTCTGCCCCCAGGAAGTAGATGGGAAACACCTGTCTCTCCCCGCGAATTTCATCTGGGAACCGTGGGGGTGGGAGTGAAGCACGAACTCGAACCGCCGGACCAGCAGATCTGGGAGCACTTGCTCACTTGGCACAGGGAGTGTGCAGGGAGGGGCCGCATGCTCACCCTAGTGAGAGCAGTCCCCGGGACTTCTGAATGAGGACCTCCTGTCTGCAGCGGGTGCTCTGTGGGCTTTCTGATAAGACTCATTGAATTTTTTTTTCCTCTAAACACTATGAATCTAAAGGAAGTCAAAGTTATGTTGTACATCATTGTCCTCTGCCAAAGCAGAGGAAAGAGGCAGGTATTTCCCATGTACTTCCTGGGGGCACTTCACTCTATCAACTAAGTTGGTGAGAAGTCTATAAGTTCTGGCACAAGTGTGGTCCCCAAGAATAAAGCAAAACAGAAGTGTGCAAGCACAGACAAAGTATCTCTTGTTTCTCTTGAAGTTTAAGAATTTCAAGATATTTTGTCTTGTATTCTTTGATTTGTTAGTGTAAGTGTACACAGAAAACTGGTCAGAGTGGTGAAAATGGGTCTATGTGATTTCTAAGCACTTACTTGAAAGGGAATTCCTCATCACACATGTAAAGAGTTTCAAAGAAGAAAGGAAGAGTTATTACTGATCTCCCACTGAACAGCTTCCAAGCCCTATTCTCTATCCATTTAGGTTCTCACAGATTCACAGAAAAGCCAACAGACATCTCCTCTGACTACAAATGCTACAAAGTAAAGGTTGGTATAATATTTATGGAGATGCAGTCCTCACTGCTGTGTGTGCATTCTGTAGTGATGGGCACCATGTCTTTGGCAGCATTGTGTTGGGGTCAACCTGTCCACTCAGGTTGTTGTTGTTGTCCTCTTCCCAGTTCATATCACTTGTGTGAAAGGTGGAGGATTTCTGAGAGTTGGGGACAATTTTTAAGAATCCATCAGTCTACCTTGTTATGTCAGTTCCTTTAGTGGAGTTGTGAAAAGTAACAATAATTGATACAGCTTGGTGCAGATCTCAACTCCAACTCTTCCATTTCCTTTCTCCCTTAAGGTAACCTGTTTTCATCAGAATCCCTGAACTTCCCATGTTGCTGGCTAAGACACAAGCAATATCCTCTGTTGTCTTAAAAATCCTTGAAATAGAGATGTCCCAAAAGCTCAGTGAGCAACCACATCAGATACCACAGTAATCACCCAGCTCAACTCACCAACCTCAGTGGATGCTCAATCTATGTAGAGTATTCTTCTAGGGAGTAGGGACATAGCAGTGAATAATAGCTGGCTTGCTTTACTGGTAATCTCATGACCTGGTAAATGATGAAAAGGTGGAAATCAGCAATGGTGGAATTAAGTTGAAAGGACAATAAAAGATGTATGTGAGTGAGATAGAATTTGCCCACAGAAAGAAATAATTTTATTTGATGGAAGCTCATGTTGAGAGAAAACTATTAGATATGGTTTTTGCCCAAAGGGAAGTGTGACAAGGAGTCTAGAACTGGGCTCAGATTTTAGGGTGAAGAAATTGCATGGATAAAGATCTGTACAAAAGCTTGTTTAAAAGGATTTAAGGTACATAGTTCAAAATGAAGACAACAATGCAGATAAGTGCAGGTTGGAAAATATTTAATCCTTGCAGCTGCACTGCAAATGCTGATGAGAAACAATACTCTGAACCTTGGATATGTGATGGTATTTTATATTGATTCTTCACATAGGGTAAAGTCAAAGGAGATCAAAAGTAGGTGTGCTTATTTCATTGCCAATTGCCACGCTGGAATGGGCACCGGTCTCCTCCAAGACAGGTGTTGCACAGGAGGCCCTTCTATTGGCTGGAGGTCTGATCCCACCTCCTTTCCCAGAGTATATACACCCCAGCTTTCCTTGCTGATTTACAACGAGTAGTGGAGGTCTGCAGGTGTCTCCCTGAAAATTCAGGGGAGTTTTGAGTACATTGACAATGGACCTGATCTCGAATTTTTCCAGAGACATCTGGATTTTTCTGGCTCTCAGTCTCCTGCTTCTGTATCTGTAATTGTCCATGCTCCTGTTCTCTGTTCTCCTATTCCCCGTAAGCTGATGTTTTGGGCATCCTCCTTGCATTTCCCTGTTTCTGTATCTATAAGGAGATGGACAAGACTGTTTCAGTGGTGATATGACTGACTCTCAGTTTGCAACTAGAATGATGAATCTCAAGCTTACAGACAACTGATACCATGTGAAGTGAGAACCTCACTTAACTGGAAAGCTTAAGAATTCTAGGACAGGCAATTTGATGTGCATCTGATCCAGAATTTTTGCCTTGCTTAATCTGTCTTTTGGGAGACATGAATGGAAGTTATGTGTCCTGTAGAATTGGGTGGTGTTTCCTCTTCTCCTCCTTTCCTAATCCACAGAATGCTGTATACAAGACTTCCACATGCAGCTCAGATTTAATAGCAAATTCTGGTTTCACTTTTCCCTTTTATACTGCTCACTTCAGCAATATATATATATTTCCCTCTTATCTGTGCCCCTCCTTGGATCTCCCCTCCTTCCTATATCTCAGTGGCTCCATCCAGCAGTACCCACAACTATTTAATTTTAAGTGATGCATTTTTAGAATGGAGCACTAAATCTCTACACAAACTTTGGAGAGAGATTTTAGTACCCATTTGGGCTGTACTGAAGTATCCCTTGGGTATCCTTCACACAACTCTCCTTTCATGCAATATTTTGGTTTCATTCTATGACATTTAATGAAATTTATTGGGCATGTAAGGAATATTTTACACCTATACTTCCTTAGTACCATCCCTCTAGAGGAGAGAAAATATGTATTTCTTTAAATAGCTTAATTATACAATGTTTACTTACTTTATGTTGCATAGTACAAATATTGTTATCAATAGGAAGCTTCATGAAATTCAGAAGGTCCCCTCTCTTGTACTGGTAAATACTTAGGCACATTGAAGGTTTTATGTATACCATACCTTTACCCACACGTTCTTCATTTGTTGCTGTGGGGACAATTTGTAAGCCTAAGAGCTCTAAAGTAACAAGGTTTTCTGTAGCCTCTTTCCACATTCTTCTGCTTACTGTCTGTCATCTTTCACACACACTAGAAAAAATTTTCTTTGCAAGGTCCAGAAATTCTATCTGTGAATATCTGGACATGACATACTAGAATATGTTGTCCAAGGATGCACCTGCTCAATGGTTTTTGTACAGAGACAGTTGATGTAAAGCATCATATGCTAACGACTTTGTGATTCAGTTTTATAAAAAGTAAGCCTCATACTTATGAGTCACATCAACTGTTATCACAGGTTCAATAAGGAGAGAAACAGCCTGTATATGGAGTCCGTGCTTTGTTCTTCCTTGTAATGTCTTTCATGTAACTAACCTTTTCTATAGCTAAAATCAGTAAGATTGCTGCCAATAGAAACTTGGGTGTCTCTCAGTTGTTTACATTTCTTTGAGACCAGTGGAGGCTTGAACTCCTCCGTCACTCTGTAGAAAGAAGAGCATTTTGACTGCCACTAGGTTTTTCTGGAAAGGCAGTTTTCAGAAAGGCCAGATGCTAAAGGAAAGCATGGTCTGTGGGAACAGAAACACATAAAAACATCCAAACAAACTATAAACACTATTACTACAGAATCTCCATCACTATGTGTCCCTGATTAGATAGATTTACATGAAATTTTAGTACTGAAAGAGAAAAACATTCACTGTTTTTCCCTAGAATGTATGTACATTCCTTCCTCATGGAAATATGATTTTCCTAACTTGATATCAGCAAAAGAAATACCTGGAAAAGTTCCATCCTGAATCTTGTGGGTGCATTCAAATTTGAGTGTGTGTTTCAAGTATTGACTGTGGGATTGAGAGTACAGAAACAGCTGGTTTTGCTAAGTTTTTTTCAGTTTTGCAAGTTGTCTGTGGAGGTGGCAGAGGAGTTAGTGAGTGAATGTACATTTTTTTTCTTGGAAGTTTCCTGTTATTTATCATATACATGGTACCTTTATGGCTTCACTGTTAAACTTCCCACGTCAATGACAAGTATACCCCTATGTATGCAAAGTCTTAAACCAAGATGTGAATTTCTGTTTCTCTTTTTAGCTATGGGACATACACACATGGACATTTTAAGAGGCTGGGTATTCCTGGTCCAAAACCTCTGCCTTTTCTTGGGAATCTTCTGTCCTATCTCAAGGTGAGTTGCATTTGTGCAATTTCTTTTTCTTCTTCTGCTTCCAAACACTAGCCTAGGACTATCATAGCAATGGTCCTTGAAAGAAAATTCTGAAATTTCTGGCTTCCACAGAAACTGTGTGGATTCCATTACAGACACAGCTAGGTTTCCCTGAGGCTCTGTATTCACATCTGTGGAGTCTGAGGTTTGCCTCAGGAACATGCAAAATTCTGACAGGTCAGCGACGGAAGCTCAGGATATGGAACTCAGATGCTATGAGGTTGAAGGTGGACATTTCTTTTTGCCCGGCACATATTTTTTGAAAGCTCAGCTGTAATTTATCAGCATTTGGAGAAATGCTTGTGAGGATTGCCTACTAGTAGCTTATGAACATGTGCACCATAGATTCAAATTTTCACATGCATACCAGAATTCATGGGTAGTATTTCATTTTCTCTTTACTGACTAGCTCTGGATTTTCAACTTTTTACATGGTCTAAGTATTCTACATTGGAAAACTTTCAAGTGTTTGACTTTTGTCTGAAACTTTTCAGTCTCCTTAGGTTAATTCCTAGACTTTAACCCTGTTTTTCCTACCCATAACATCTTTCAGGGAATTCAAGTGTAGAGTGAGATCCTTTTACTTTCTTTGTTTTCCTTCAAAGGCAGCACTGTATGTGTGAGTCTGACTAAGAAGTGGGCATAACTGAGAAGGAGACTTTTTTTAATTTTAAAAATAAAAGGAGGAAAATATTAACAGACAGACAACATTTTACAAAATAGCAAAGGAACAGTACAGACAGTACGGAGTTACAAAGAAAGTGGTAGGGGATTAACAATGCTTGTTGTATTACATATTGATATGTTCAAAGTGGTTTCTCATGAAAACAGATATAGACATGCAATGCATATCAACCAAGGACTCATTGACAGTTTCTTTCAGCAAAGAAATACAAGACAGTAGAACAGCCATGTTGACTATCCTGCATATACATACCTACAAACTTTCTCCTTGAGAAGGAGACTTTGTTACAAAGCTGCTCTGAACTTGGCCCTTTCCCTGGCACTTCACAGATGTTCCCCGGCCTAAATGCAAAAGTCCAGAAGCAGACACTGAGTGCAGGCTGCTCTTTGCCCACATTTCTTTTCCCAAAGGCTCTGGGTGCTTCACTCAGATTATATTTTCATAACTAGGGTCTTTGTGTAGTTACTGATTCAGAATTTCCTACTGCATTACCACCTGAAAGTGCAATCTTCAGCCTCATTATTGATACATCAATTATTTAATGGATGCATGCCCAAGTCAACATTTCCCATATGTACTTTTACATATTTAAAATTCTCAGGTGCAACTTACTAGCAGGAAGATTTAGTTTTACATCACAGAAGTGCAAACTTAGAGCAAGTATTTAAATTGTCATTTCTATATGTAGATGTGCCCCATCTTTCTATGATAAGCTGGAGCACTGAGTCATTTTCTCAACCAACAATGTTTTGAGGCTTAGGTAGATCTAATAGATGAAAAGAGGCCACTGCTAGAATAGAAGAGGCCAGTGCACTGCTTCCTAATTCCACCAGCATTCTAGAGAAGCTAGTGAGACATAAAAACTGGAAAATGGAGAGAAAAAAACTGCACATGCAAGGGAAACTCATTCACTGGGTCTATGTACCCATGGAGGGGATGATTCACAGCTACATAATTTTACCAATTTTTTAATCCTTGGGTTTTTTGAGATAAGCTCTCACTATGCAGTTCACAATGACCTGGAACTTAGGCAATCCTCCTACCTCATCTTCCTGAATGCTGGAATTACAGCGTGCACCAAAAATGCTGGAAGCTCCATAATTTTAGAGAAAACACATGCACAAGAAAAGCTCCTCAGGGAATTTCTTAAATTTTAATACAAGGATAGTTCCTTTGAAATGTACTATACCTAACAGAAACCAATAGTTACTCTAAATAAAACTCTCCAGTTTATATATCTCCTCTCTTTTATCTTCCATTCAGATGTTTCTAAACTCTCTTTTCCTCTACCTACATGTGAGGGTAGTCTGAATTTGTGGGTTCCCATGCATTCATTCCACAATTAGACATGTGGCCTGTTCATTCTGAACAGCAATCAATTCAAAGTTTGTTTTTCTTCCCAGGGCACATGGAAGTTTGATGCGGAGTGCTATAAAAAGTATGGGAAAATTTGGGGGTGAGTATTCAGGAAACTTCCAGTGGGTAGACTTATGAGGAGGGTTATCCCTGGCATGAGGACAATATCAGCTACCAGCTCTTAGAAAGCAACTGTGTATTGTGAGGCTTTTGAAATCTTATCCTGCCAAGGATCCCAAAGGTCACCAAGTCTTAACGGCTACAGTCTCATTAGGTGGAGAATACTATCATTTATTACTTTTAAGGGGCTCCTAGGTGAGTGTACAAGTATTTCCTTCTCTACCTCATTCTTCTGGCTGTGAGCCATAGATCTAGGATGTGGTTGAATCCCTGTGTTCCCCTGTGGGCTTGTGTCCATACTGATTTTGGAAGGAGGCATGAATCATTTGCAACCACTCTTTCCTTAGGAGATACTGGAGGTTTAGAGAGTTATGAAAGAAGTTTTATCATGTACTTTCTCCTATAAACACACTGATAAAAGCTGTGCATCTTCTTGTGTCTTCTTCACTTATCTGTCCTCAGACTCCCCAGAACTAGTCACAGGGTTCTACTGATGTCACATAGCCCATAATAAACTTGTGACATAATAGCAATAAAATACAACCTCCACCAACACAACCCCCACTGGCCATGAAACTTTTAGTACTTATGAGCACTTGGTAGTTTGGGTTTTTCTGTTTTATTTATTTATTTTTTTATTTTAAATATAAAATGAAGTAAACATAAACATACAGACAACCTTTTACAAAATAGCAAAAGAACAGTACAGACAATACAGAGTTACAAACAAAGTTGTAGGAAATTAACAATGCTTGTTGTATTACATATTGATATCTTCAAAGTGGTTTTTCATCACAACAGATAGAGACACGCAGTATTGATCGATCAAGGACTCATTGACAATTTCATTCAGTGAAGAAATACAAGACAGTAAAACAACTATGTTAACTATCCTGTATATACATACATACAAAATTTCTCCTTCTTTCCATTTTCTTTTCCCACATCCCAGTTGCCCTTTACCCTTGAGTGTTTTCCAATCATTTCACAATGTCTATCATACCTCCAAGTTTAAATTAACTCTTTCAGGTTTTACACTAGTGAGACAATGCGATGCTTGCACATGTATGTTTGATTTATTT